GAGGGCAGGAGGGGGTTGGCGTGGGTCTGGGGGAGTTAGCTGTTGCACGCATGCTTTTTAGTGATTATGTAAGGATTTTTAAATTAAAAAAAAAAAGTTGGTGTGTTCTTGGAGCTCCGGAGAAATGAGGGGCTGGCAGCCAGCTGTTTGCCTCAGGACAGAGTCTAAGAGCAGATTGAACACCTGCAACTTCTGCTGAAGTCAGGTGGCCTTCAGATCTCCGACAATAGTCCTGTAGCTGAATGGCTGGAAGCTCTGGAGAGGTGTGGAGGGAGGGATGGGATGTCACATAGCTGTCACTGTTTGTGTGAAGGAGCTGGGAAACCAGGTCTTCTTTTGTTCCCCGGTGTGGCCAGGAATCTCCTTGATCCTCTTTTCATTCTGGACAGAGCAAAATTTGGAACTGAAATCTGCCTTCCAAGTGCCCCATGCAACCCAGTTTAGCTCTGAATGTAACCAAGAGAAGAATTTGGCCCAAGATTGCGTGTGATCAAACCCAAGGTCTCGAAACAGGAGGGCTTCTTTTCTGTTCCTCTTGAGCTCACAAGCTAAAATGCCTTTGAGGAATAAACACAGGGGCTATACATCCGTAGGGGCAATACCTCTCCCTTGGAGATGTTGATCCGGGGGCCTTAAATTGCATGTACGTTTCCTGTTTCTGAAACACCAGGTGAGAATGAAACTGACTTGACAGGTCAGTGTCTGTGCAATCCCATAAATACATGACCTTTGTGTATTGAAAATGGCATTGTATATAAAACTATATAAATATATATTTACTTTCTTTTAAATACTTTCAATTTATTTCCCTCTCCCTTTGAAATAGAAAGTACTTTATTAATATGCATCCAAAATGTCCATGAAGATCGAGAGGCCATTGGAGGTGGAGAGAATCTAACAGCAGGAGCAGAGCTACTATTTTTTAATTGTGTTGCATTTAGAATTCTCCACTTCTTCATCCATATATAAATATAGATAAATATATATATATATATATATGTGTGTGTGTGTGTATATATATTGTAAGTCACACAGTCTGCTTTATTTTTGTACCCTTGCTTAGCTCCATTTTGAGCAGCGCAGTATCTTAGGGTGATCGTGGGCCTTGTGACGCAACAGATCCTCTGTGTGGCCCAAACAACTTGTCCCAGCTGAAGGTTTCCTCTGGATCAGATGGGTCCATTAGGAATTTCTGTGATTTTTTTTTTTTTTAAACCCTTGCTGGAATCATGGAGCTTGCTGGACAACAGCCGGTTTGGATTTCCTTTACGATGAGTTTTGAATCGATCTGCTTCACTTCGGTTCTTGCAATTCGTGCCTGTGGTGCAGCTTATCTGTGAAGTGCGTTGAAGTTGTCGCTATTGTACATTATCACTCCAGTGTAAAAACACTATGCAGGGGATGGGGAGAGTGTTTGTTTAAGCTAGTGGAGGCTGTATGTCTGGGTGTGCAGATCTTGCCTAGTATTACAGCATTCGGTTTTTCCATGTGCTGCTTCTGCGTGGATCTGTAGGGTTGTGGATGCTTCTTTTTAGGAGGCCCCGTGTGACGGGAAAGGTAATGGGCTGCTCCTGTGAATTAGGGATGTCTGCACCGAGAAGGCCCCTGTGGCTGTATTTCTGCTTCAGGCAATGTTTGACATTTATTTTTCTGAGAAGGGAATTTGTCCTTTATTTTTTTAAAGCCTTTTATGGGGAAACAAATGAGCCTTTTAGTTTTCAATTAAGAAATCCATGCCCTTAACACCTCTGCAATTGCCATGGAAGTGGCATGGCTGTGTGTTCACAGCCCAGGCAGGCGGCCTCTGCATCGGATGAGCTGGGTCTGGGACAGCTGGAGAGAGAGGTTGGATTTGGTAATATTGTTGAAGAGGATACCGTTCTGCTGATTGTTCTGGGCCCCTCCGGAGCTTCTCCAGATGTAGGAGGCCCAAGAAGGGAACACCGTTACCTCACTGTGGCTTCCATTGGTTCCCAAGCCTTGTGGTCCCTCTGTCTTGGAGAGTGTTTTGTTGCCTTTACAAAACCTGCAGAACTCAGTGACACTGGCGGGGATGAGTGGGGCTGCGGGCAGCTGTAGCTGACGTTTAAAGATGATCTGTTTTGTTCAGCACATTGGAGTGGAGCAGCTCTCAGCAGCTATCGACTTTGTCTGCTGGAGGCCTCCAGTTTCCAGGGCATCCTCAGTGGAAGCACGGCTGTGAGTGGATTTGTTTGGTAAGCTTGGGAAGGCATGGAGACGTCGGAGGTTTCCAGGGAGCCCTTCGTGTGACCTCTAGACCGCTTCAGTTAGGGGCACGTTGTCTGTAGGTTTCACACTGTAGCATGGAATTCAGTTGCACACTGTAACAGAGCATCATCTATCTAGGTAACTCTATACCTGTCCTAAAAGGATCCCGGACTTTAAAGCCTCGGTTGGTGTCCTGTGGGACTGCCTTGTTCTGTCCTCTCACCCGAAGTCCTGTCTGTGGTAAAGGTTGAACCTCTCTAGTCTGGCACCCTCGGGACCTGACTGGTGCTGAATCAGAGAATTTGCCTGACCATGGGAGGTCAATATTGTCTAACAGCATTACCAACACTTCCACTGCTCACTGGGCTCTTACAAGAATTTTGGGGTAAATTAGAGCTAAATAACAGCACAGAACCCTGAGTCAGGACTGGTGGCTGTAAGCAAACTTTATGGGACAGCGAGAAACTTGGCCACACCCATGCTAAGTGGACATCCAGCTCACTAAAATCATGCCAGACCACGGATGTTGCTGGATCAGTGTGTGCCGGAGTGGAGAGTTTCAACATGTACAAGCAGAGATAGTGCAGGTGTAGTTTTAACTCCCCACAATTCCTCCTGCCCTGCAGGGTGCATTCCATAAAATAACCCCCCATTCCTGCATGAAAACAAAACCCTGCTCCCTTTCTCCTGGAGTTGTACTGGGGCAGGACTGGTGACTGCATGGTGGGTGCAATAGAGTGTACTAGGGATGGGTTTTTCCAGTTTTTCTGCAAAGCAGCATTGAGCCAAACCAGACAAGACTCTGAATTTGGGTGAGTCGAGGGGGAAGGTAATTTCTGAAAGACTGGAAAGACTCTCTTTAAATGTAAGCAGAAGGGCTGCCAAGAATCCTCACACTGGGTTTCCATTGCATTTTCCCGTTGCTGCCCGGCCCTGTGTCACCCACCGAGATTCCACAGGCAGAGAAGAGCAGAAGGACCTGTGTAGCTGAGCTGTGTAGCTCAGAAAGGGGAGCGGTCACCATGCTGGGGCATTAGCTGTACGACAGGTGGGAGAGACAAACGGATTCTCTTGAGACGAGTGGCAGAATTCCCGAGGACTTCTCCGAGACCGAGGATTGGCTCAAGACCTTGGGAAACGTGGGATCTGCTTTCAGGAATGAGCCGTAGGAAGTCCTGAGCGCTAATCCCGATTCTGATGCTCATTTCCCAGAGTGCCTTTGGGCTTATACGCTAGGAGCCAACCTCCCCTGCGGAGGATTGAGGCGTTCTTGTTTGCAGCGCTTTGAAGCTGGAATCTTGGCCTTGCAAAGTGCTAAGTAGTATTATGTGGACTCGAGGCTTGGAGCTTTTGGCTCCCTCTACCTCTTTCTCTTCCTCTTTGGGCATCTGACTCTGCACCACTGGCGACAGTGGGAGTTTTACCTGGGGCTTCAGTGGGAGCAGGCGCAGGCTCTCGATGACTAAAGGGGAGGTGTTGGCTACTGTTCCCATAATGCTCTGAAGTCGGAGGCCCGGGCAGAACCTCCCGTAGGTCCAGTCAGCATTTGCTGACTGAGGCTGAGCTGGTGGCTAGATACTGAGCAAAGGGCTTCGCCCTGGACTTGGAACAAGCAGAAGTGCGGGTCAGGGAAATGGTAGCATGGAGAGGATTTCTGGAGTGCGCAGGCCGCGCTCCTCCCATCACTGGCCCCGTTGCCTGCCTCTCTCTTGCTGAAAGGTGGCCTGGTTCCCTTGGACGTGGCCATGTAACTTCCATAGCTGAGTCCGTGTAGAGCTGTAAACGCTTGGTCTCCTTTCTAGCATGTGTGCTTTGTGGGTGACCTTTCTCCCCACTCTGCAGAGTAACCAGGCCCGTCACAAGTGCATGAGCATGGTCTAAAATCTGAAGGAAGATGTGGAAAATCCCATCTTCTCTCCCCTCTCCTACTGGGTCTCTTCACGGAAACAGCTCTGCCAGTGGGATAGGCAAGTTGCCTACGGCTGTAGGATTCTTTTGTAGTCTGTGTGACGCTGATCGTGTGGCTGCGAGGGGTGTGCACACTCCAGATATCACACTGATCTGTTCCCGCGCAGGCGAAGGAGCGCGTGTTGCCCACATCGCTTGGTTTGTGTCATGGGCTCCAGCTTTAAGAGCCCAGCCAGCAATAGTCTGGCAGACCTAAAAAGCCGTGGATTGTGGCTGGAGAAGCTCTTTGTGTCGTCCGACCACAAACCATGCGTGGCTTCCGAGGAAAATGACTGGTGATGTGACACGAAGGGATACACGCTCGAGGGACACAGAATCGCCCATTGCCTCCGTACTGAAAACGGTCACCTGCTAGCAGTCTTCTTACTTGTGACTTTCCCGCTAGGAGGAAAGAGCAAAGATAGAAAAGAACTGCAAAATATACTTCAACATCTTCCATCCCCCTTCCTTAACCCAAAGGGGTTGTACAGCAAGCAAGTAGGTAATGGGGCACAGAGTAAGAAATCCACCAGAGGTGACCTAAGGGCACTCTTCATATAGAACAGGCTCCAGTCCCTGTCTCGAGATCTTACCTTGGGAAATTTCCACAGTTCCCAAGAAGGCACTGCATGGTGGAGCAGTATCATGAACCAGCCCTTTGAGCTACGCTGTGCTACTATCACAGTCACTTCCAAAACTAGCCTGGTACACCACGCTCTGTACCAGGGTAACTCCGACCGGCTAAAGCATGAATGTAACCCGTTTGCAAGGAGTTCAAACTCTTCGAAACGGTGCAGTTTCTTTCATCAGTATAACCTGTTATGTTTCTTGATCTTTTATTCTTTTTTTTTTTTTTTTTTTTAAGGGAGTGTTTCTAATGACGAGCCAAGATTTGTTCAAAGAAAAGCATGGTAGATGGCACGTCTAGATTGCATTGAGTAGCAGTAAACAAGTGAAACAGTCAGAAGGACAAGGGCTGTCCTTGGTTACCTTGTTCGCTTGTGTGGCTGACAGCTCTCTGAGCTTGGGACACTCACATTGTGATGGTTTTTTTGGGAGGGGGCAGGGGTGTTAGCAGCTTTCCCATTTCCCCCATCTTCCCCCCCACCCCGGAAATCACTTACAGAAAAAAAGAGGAAAAATAATGGAGAAAAGACGTTTATGAAGCACACTTTCTACAGTAATATTAACTCTCTTGATGCCAAATGCAAACCAACGGCACCTCGTTTCCAACCTGATGCACTAGCATTTAGGGAGAAACCTTGGAGACATGCGTCTGTCCACTTTCTTTTTTGTTTGTTTGTTTTTTTAATCACCAGCCCCAGTGTCCATCCATCTGCCGTGCCCCCGTCCAGTGCAGTGCAGGCTTTGGTTGGGGTTCTTGCGGGGCGAAGTGTTGGAGGGATTTGCTTTAAATGGTGGTTCTGGTAACTTCAGGATTTTTAAAAACCTTTAAATGAGAAGTAAAAGGGAGGGGACGTGAACACAGGGAGTCAAAGGCTTTTCATTATGGGCCTTGTAATACCTAGAGAGCTTACGTGGAAGCCTCCTAGAGGATCAGAGGTAACGAAGGGTTTTTCCTGAGCACTCTTTTGTGTTAGATCTGCCGTGTGACTGCTTGGTTGGAATGTCCCATCCATTCTCCTGCCCAGATATGCTTAAGGGCCTACCTAACCTTTCAGGTCACAGTCCCAACCAATGTTCCCTCTAATCGTTTCATCCATGCGTGGAATACATTTTATGTGCGCTGAGGCATGTGCACCACCAGAAGAAACAAAAATCCTATTGATGGGCACTCTGCTAATCTGCTGGGCAGCATTTGAATTTCACCTGAATGGTCACAACAGCGCCCAGCTTACAGGGAACACTGGTCCAACCCCACTTCTGCCCGGTGATGTTCACAACGGCCAGTGCAAGGCATGAGGGCTGCTGACTGCAGAATGGATCTAGACGGGCTGGTGGTCTTGGAGATGCTTTTTCCCCCCCATCAGTTTTTTCCCCTCTATGGGCTTCGCATACACACCCTCCTTTCTCCCCTGTGCTTAGTAACTACTTACTCTTCTTTTAGAATGACCCTACGATGGGGCATGGATGCCGTATCTACCACTCAGTCTCAAAATTTAAGACAAGACAACTTAGGACTTTCTGTGCAGACTTTGTTTGTATTTCTCTTGTGGGAAAACCCTACTGAATTTTAATAACCAATGACCACTTTTCTGTTGGTCTCTTGAGTCATCCTATGGAATTTAGTAGGAAATTATATCCCTATAGAATTGTGTAGGCTAGTTTGCAACTCCTATATAAAGCTTATCATTTTCTATTCAATGTGATAAGTTTAGAGCCTGTGGAACCCTGTTGAATTTCCACAGACCTCTAACGGTTTAATTCCCTGTTCAACCAGTGGGTTTTTTTTGTAGAACTCCAAGTGATCTTCTGTTGTGTAGGGTATTTTTTTTATTTCTTTCTTTTTCAGACAACTTGCCTATATTTAAAAATGACTTTAACCCTTGAAGACCATTCAACCTCGTCTCCATTTTTTGAATGTCGAGTATTACAATGTATAACACACATTAGGGTGCTCTTTGGTGCTGTTTAAATGGTAGCCAGTGGAACTGACTTTTTTTAAATAACAATAATAAAAGAAACTTTTGTCCCACTGGTTCCTTAATGTGCGTTGTTGTGGTTTTCTTTCTTTAATAAAGGTTCGTGATTTGAACTGAACTTCCGTGATCTCGGTTGCTGACATGTGCATGTCAAATCTTAGCCACTGGGCCCGGCCCATGTAGCGACGATGCCGGTCGCTGCTGCAAGTTGTGCAGGCTGTGTACCAGGTTAACAATAGTTTTTGAGTTTCGTATTCCTTTTTGTGTCGAAATTGCACAGATGCACACAGCAAAAATAGGCGACCTGAGCCCGAATGGCAACTAGAGGGTTAATTTTTAACTTCAGGTATGTTATTCAAGAGAATAAAATTAAAAAAAAAGAAGAAAAACAGAACACTATTTTTTCAGTAAGCTTTTTTTTTTCTGTAAACGATTTAGAAATAAATCCAAGACATGATGGTGCTGTACCAAAGCCTTATACAAAACTTATTCTGCGCTCTATATAATCTCCCGATAGCTGTATTGTTGCTCTCAGCCTCTGTTTTTGTGAAGGTCTGTAAAATACCAGCAGGGGGCAGTAAGGTCCTGGACTTGGCCCTGGAAGTTTAGCTAGTGCCAGTATTTTGTCACTCCAGAGCCCGGACAGGGAGCCTCATTTCTGCTGGGGAAGGACATTGGTCAAGTTTTGTCTGGCCCTTGACAGTGTAATGAGGGGAGGAAACAGGGATGTTTCCTCTTGGGTCTCGGAGGGTCAATGCAACCTCCTGGGGAGGGACAGCTCCTTTTTGCTCCCCTCCCAGGCTGTCTCCTGGGAAGCTGACTGCAGAGAACCCTCAGGAATCTTAGTGTTTCCCTTGATGAGTTTGCAGGCCCAATTCTTGCCCCCTGCACTGATGCACTCCACTTTTGAGGTCTGTGGCTGGGCCTGGGTGTTACAGAACAAGGGAATTTGGCTCTAGCGGGAGAAATCTTCCAACTCAGCCATGCTGGCACTAGACCTGCTCGGGCCAAAGAAACACTGACTTTGCCTGGTTCTCTCTGTCAAACAGCATTTAGTCGTCCTTCTCCCCGGCACTCTTTGCCTGTCCCAAATGAAGAGCTAACCTGATTCACATTCACTGGAGGCAACTCCTACCCGCTTCTGGTTGGGTGGCTCTAAGCAATAAATCCACTCTGTCAGTCTGCCAAGGATGTTGGCCGCTGAGGCACTTGGGCTACTGCCAATTGAAACACAGAGTCTAACGTTAGGGGGAAATTAATGTGAAGCCCTGCCTTAATGTGACTGGCTAGTCCCTAGACCTTCACTTGCTGGTATTTTAAGGCCTGCTGAGTACTAAACAACTCATCACCAGTAACATTGCATGACCATAGATTTGATTTAAAAAAAAATGTACCCAATTAAGAAATTATGGCAGTGTTGCAATGTTACGTAAAACTAGCCATTCTGTAGGAGAACGACGGATTTTGGAATCGATAACGTTTAACATTGAATTGCTCCTCATGTAACATTACTTTGCTTCAGAAATGTTTTGTATTTTGATATAAATAAACATTTGCTTAAAAAAGGCTGGCCTGTGGCATTTGCTTGCTTTCAGTTTCTTGCTCTGGGGCCATGTGCTAGTGTGAAATCCCTTTTTCTCTTGTGACTTCTCCTCTGTCCGTGGTCCAGCCGATGAGAACGTAAGAGCGGCCGCACTGGGTCAGACCAACGGTCCATCTAGCCCAGTGTCCTGTCTGCCGACAGTGGCCATTGCCAGGTGGCCCAGAGGAATGAGTAGAACAGGGAAACATCAAACGATCCAACCCCCGTCACACATTCCCAGCTTCTGACACAGTCACTTGGGATACTCCCTGTGTGCTGTAGGTGATGTTACGGGAATCTTCCCTGGCTCACGTGGTATCACTACTGTTGAGGTGAGTGACTGGAGAATTCTGACGTCTCCAGCATCTTACGGTCACATTAATCACATTACCCCCTGCGGCACGAGTGTAAATGAGACAAGAGAATCAATTATCAGAGGGGTAGCAATTATCAGAGAAGCAATGGAACTGAAGTTCCGTGCCTGCCTGGGTAGGACTACCCCCTCCCTCTTCTGTGCTCCAGCCACCTCTCCACAGCCATACACACACAGAAAGTTCTTCATATCCCAGGAGGTCACATAGTTGGGACACTACTGGTGTTGCCAGATCAGTCTGACCTTTCAGAGGAACCCTGAGAAGTCTATGGGAACAGACCCTGGAGTAGGACTAAACCACTGGCTTCAACTTTTTTTTTTAAATCCTCCTCCCAGTAGGTTGGTTGATCTCCCCACCTTTTGCATCTTCTCAGGTCATGCCAGGCACAGTTCCCATGTCTCTTTTGCCATCAATCACACAATTGTTAGCTCCAGTCCGTTCATGGCAGCTTGATCAGCTACTGTCTTAACAACTAAGTTGTTCAGTCTCAGAACTTTTCGCTAACTCTCACTCCACCTATGAAACCCTTCGATTTTTTGAGCAGAGTGGAGCAGTTTTTCAGGTACAAGTATTTCTCCATCGCAGCATGTCAGAGAAGGGATTGTGCTTTTTTCTTTTGTTGCGCACAAGGAGCAAAGCACTGTTCTAAGCTGCAGTTCGTTAGCAACTTTCCACCTGGAAGATCCCAACATTCTTCCCAAACCCTATACAGGAACCTCTTCACCCACTGCTCAAATGCAGACCCCTCTGGCGTGGAGTACAGCAGCTGTTTCTACAGCGACGTGACACAATTGTTTTGGGGCAGGAAGCGAAGAATCCCGTAAAAACAGCTGCGAGGATTTAGGGCGGTAGATGGCCCTACTTAACCATGTCTAGCTAGACAGTGGAAAGCCTTCGGGGAATAGGATTAATGCCTCAGATCTTACGAAAATCACCGTGGGATAGTTAGTGGCCCGTGCTGCAGCTTTGTGTCAGGTGGGAAAGACGGCGGCTCTAGTGGCAGAGTGCCTCTTAGCACCAGGCTGGGGTGTTGGCCCAAGGAGCCAAGGGCAGTGAATCACCCTACCTCCCTGCAGCACCTGGTACCCTCCACGAAGAGGAAAAGATCTTCCCGTAAACACCCTTGCTGCAGAAAGCACTGGCTGGTCCCCCCCAACTCTGGCCAGGGATTTGTAAAACCTGAATTCCAGGGCCCAGCTTGGCAACAAACACCTGGGCACGCCCTACGTGCGTCCGTTCCCCAGCTATAAAATGGGGAGAATGCTTCCCTGTCTTGCCGGGGGCTGGGAGGTGGCCAACTACCCCTGATCTTCCGTTAGGCACTCCAGAGCGTGTGGTGCTCTAGCACCCTTAGCAAGGAGGGCCTAGGTACCTGGTAACATCCAAAGGAGGATTAGAGGCTGGAGAAGGGAGAGTCCCTACTCAGGAGCCTCCTCCTTGCCTCTTGCAGGAGCGGCCTGTGTGTGTGGGAGGCAGCACCAGGAGGCAGCGGGTTGCTGCCCGTTGCCATTGTTACCGTGTCAGCGGTTGCGGTGCCGTGGAATCCGGTGATGGAACAATGCTGCCCCCTCCGCCAGGATTCTTACGGCCAAAGAGGGGAGCTGAGGCTGAGGGAGCGGACGCCTCCCGGGGAAAGGGTCCCCAGGATGATTATTTCCACGTGGGCGGTGTACATCTTATTCCGTAAATGCATTGGCCACCGGTTCCCATCCAGCAGGGCTACGGTGAGAGAGCAATGGGCTTAGCTGCAGACTCCCCGTGGAGGGACAAGCACGAGGTTAATGCCCACCCTGTCTGATTCCTTGCAGGACATGGAAGTTATGGAGACCGAGATGCTGTCTGTGCTCGAGCACTGGCTGAGGAAGGTGAGCGTAAGCGCCCGAGAGCAGTGGCATGTCAGAACTAGAGCGAGGTCCTAGCCAAGAAGAGGCCGGCAAGGGCGACAACCAGGAAATCCGGCACCGCGCGAGCACCCGGCTGGGAACGGGGCACTGAGCCCTGATTTGACAGTTCAGTGGCTGTCAAAAAATTGGGAGGGTTTTGATGCTTTGGTACCTTGCTAACCCCAGAGGTGGGGAGCAGCATCAGAGCCTGGTTCTGCTACATTGATACTAACTAGGGGGATCCTGGATTTTAATGTTTCGTTACCCAGATGCTAACGAGGAGGGAACCAAATGGATGAGGTTCAACAAGGACAAGTGCAGAGTTCTGCACTTGGGACGGAAGAATCCCAAGCATTGTTACAGGCTGGGGACTGACTGGCTAAGTAGCAGTTCTGCAGAAAAGGACCTGGGGGTTACAGTGGATGAGAAGCTGGATATGAGTCAACAGGTCGCCCTTGTAGCCAAGAAGGCTAATGGCATATTAGGGGCATTAGGAGGAGCATTGCCAGCAGATCCAGAGAAGTGATTATTCCCTATTTGGCTTTGATGAGGCCGCATCTGAAGTATTGTCCAGTTCTGGGGCCCCCACTACAGAAAGGATGTGGATGCATTGGAGAGGGTCCAATGGAGGGCGACCAAAATGATTAGGGGGCTGAGGCACATGACCTATGGGGAGAGACTGAGGGATTTGGGTTTTAGTCTACAAAAGAGAAGAGTGAGGGGGGATTTGAGAGCAGCCTTCAACTTCCTGCAGGGAGGCTCCAAAGAGGATGGAGAGAGGCTGTTCACAGTACTGCCAGATGGCAGAACAAGGAGCAATGGGATCAAGTTACAGTGGGGGAGGTCTAGGTTGGATATTAGGAACAACTATTTCCTTGGGGGGGTGAAGCACTGGGCTGGGTTCCCTAGGGAGGTGGTGGAATCTCCATCCCTGGAGGTTTTTATTTCCCGGCTTGACAAAGCCCTGGCCGGGTTGATTTAGTTGGGATTGGTCCTGCCTCGGGCAGGGGGCTGGACTCGATGACTCCTGAGATGTCTTCTAGCTCTGGTTCTATGATTCTAATGCCCAGGTGTCGGATGGGTACGGATGAGGGGACATGGTTTTAGTGTCTGGGTTCTTGGGTGATAACCTAGATGGAGGGGCGAAATCTAGTTTCATTCCCAGCTGGCTCAGCATCAGGGCTTGTTCTGCAAAAGCCTATCTTTGAGAACAATGTCCTTCAACAGGCGGGAAGGGCTTGTGGTTTTGGTCCTCAGCTGTCAAATCCCCTGAGGGTATCCTTACTTCAGTCCACCTTCGAGGTGATTTCTTTGTCTAAGATCCACTCTAGTGTCTGTTTTATAAGGCCAGGATGTCCTCTCCTCGTTGGGGCTGTATCAGATATTCGAGGACTTTTGGCAGATTCAACTCTTGTGCCCTTCTATGTCTCCAGGTGGAATGGGACCGGCAAGTGTTTTCCCTGGGTGGATAGTTGCTTTGTTATTAGCCCACAGTTCTAAAGAATGATACAGTAAACCCCCAAGTGCGTAGGGACCGTTGAGATCCAACACCTGCACCGTTCATCTAGCCACTGGCCTGCCTCAGGAGTTGCAGGCAACGCTGCCGAGGAAAGTTGTTGCTCTTTTTGCTTCCCTTTCAGATTGAAGAAGAAGCATCTAAGATCTTTAGGCAGAAACTGGAAAACAAGGCGGAAACCACAGTAGAAACCAAAGCGACCTCTACTGCTGGCCAAGATTTGGGAACAATGAAGTCACAGGTATCTTCGCCAGAACAGTGTCCGTGGGGACCAGGACTGAGAGGTGGATGGGGTCTGTGATTCTGTACAGAAAGAGGGGGAAGATCAGAGCCCGAGAGGCCTAGTAACACCGTTGCCCCATGAAGCACTATGAATAGGCTGGGCTAGCGTGGCCAAGGAGGCATTCGCTGCTCCAACACCTTAACAGCAAGTGAGGTGTGAGAACCTGAACGGAACTAGCTACAATAGTAGGTTTTCCTTCTGGTGATGACACCGGGCCTGGCTATGCCAGTGAAACCGTAGCAGCTATAGGTTGCTGGACTCTGCTGGGCGTTCCCCAGGACTGGGCTGAAAGCATTCCTTGTGTCCGCCAAACCCCAGACGGCCAGGTTCCCTCGGGCTCAACACCCTCATCCAGAGCCAGGCTATCGAGTTTTTCTCTCCCCTTTTGGTATTTTCCAAACAAGGTCTCCGTTTTCCAAAATGTTCAGCAGCCGGCTCTGCCCGGCATGCCCTTTGTGTGCCGAGCTCTTTTGGAAAATCTGGCCCTTGCTGGTTAGAATGGTGCCCTTCTCCACAGAGGAAAAACTTCCCAAGCCGTCATTCCCCTGTGCCTTTTGGAGTGGCTCCTGGTTTCCTTTGTCATCCCTTGCTGTGCAGTTGAAGGGCTATTCAGATCTCATAAGAACGGCCGTACTGGGTCAGACCAAAGCTCCATCTAGCCCAGTATCCTGTCTACCGACAGTGGCCAGCACCAGGTGCAAGGTGACCCAGTCACGTCGGATAAGCTTATAGACAAATAAGCAGCTGATCTGGTCCAATGCCCACTGGAATTAGCCGAAAGTCTCTCATTTGTCTTGGCTTCAGATTGGACTCTTGGAGCTTGAGGAACAAGGAGCAGGGTGGGTTTGGGTTTTTTTTGCTATGCACACTGGTGGTTGCAGTGCTCTGATCCAGTATGGGAAATCCTGCTCTCCCCTGTCTTCCATGTGAACATGAAAAACAGCCTTTCCACAAACCTGAAATGCCCCTGCTTTGCATTCAGGTGTAATAGACACTTCTCAGCTGCCACGTTGGTCTCCTTAATGTTGAAGTAAAGTAGATTTTAAAGGGGGGTGGTGGTTCTGGTTCAGATTCTGAGCTGCGTTTCATCTTATTTCCTTTCCTGCTGCTATGAATAATAAGATCTGCTCTCCCCTGCTCTCCCTAGACCATTCAAGTCTCTAGCACAAGCCTGCCAGTGTCCTCATCCAGCCACAGTCTTCTGGAGGAGAGGACAAATATCCAGCTCATAAGATGGAGGTAGTATCCCTTGTAGTTATCCCATTGGAATTCTGCAAGGTACAGAGCTGGAGTAGGAAAGCGAAAGCCACGCAGAAGCAAGAGGGGGAAACAGAGAAGGCGATGAATGAAATGTGGTGCCAATGAAAGACACAGAGAAATTGGAGAAGGTCCAGAGAAGAGCAACAAAAATGATGAAAGGTCTAGAGAACATGAGCTATGAGGGAAGGCTGAAAGAATTGGGCTTGTTTAGTTTGGAAAAGAGAAGACTTGAGAGGGGACATGACAGCTTTCAAGTAACTAAAAGGGTGTTACAAGAAGGAGGGAGAAAATTGTTCTCCTGAAGCTCTGATGACAGAATAAGAAGCAATGGGCTTAAATTGCAGCAAGGGAGGTTTAAATTGGGTTAGGAAAAGCTTCCTACCTGTGATTAAGCGCTGGAATAAACTACCTAGGGAGTTGATGGAATCTCCGTTAGTGGTGATATTTAAGAGCAGGTTAGACAGACACTTGTCAGGGATGATCCAGACGGTGCTTGGTCCTGTTGAGAGTGCAGGGGACTGGACTTGGTGACCTCTCAAGATCCCTTCCAGTTCTGGTATTCTATGAGCTTTAATGGGAGCCAATGGATTCAGGACTGGACCAAAAGACCAGATCTGGTGTACATCAGTGCGGTGAAATCAGTGATGTGCTGGTTTATGCCAGCTGAGGGTCTATACCAAAGTGGGTGGTGTTTGGTCATGTATCAATGGAGTTTATATGCAACTATGTTGCAATGTATATTTAAAAAAGAAAAAAGCCGCAAACTTAACAGCCTCATGTTATACTGCCCAGGGCAGCAATTTTGATCTCTTGGTGGTTCTAGAACTATCATTACAATGGGGAGGTGACCTTGTTAGTCTGCAACTTTAAAAACAATGAATAGTCTTGAAGTGGGTAAAACGCACTTCATTAGATGAGTTGGAGTTGGAGTGGCAATTACAAAATCCAGGGTATATATAACAGCAAAAGAAGTACCTGTCCATTGTAGGACCAGTGTTTAATGAAGCTAATTGAGTCAGGCTGGATGTGTCCTATTCATAGCTTTTCATGTGTAAATGTGAATATCAAAGGTGAGGGGAATTGCTTCTGTCGTGCATTAACCAGTTTATTCAAGCTCAGATTGATCGTATCAAACTTGTAAATGACAGGAGCACTTTTAGCATAGAGCATTGGTTGCACTGGGAGAACATAAAGGTTGGGGACCTCCACAGAACTGGGCATGGAGGGCCTGTTGGGGGAGGTACTTTATTGGTGACCAGGCCACCCTGATAAAAATACTGGAATGGACTTTTTCTTGCAGTCACACCCGGATCTATCGGGTATCAAGCGAGATCAGAAACGAAGCCATGCGGGAGAGGCTGGAAAAAGTACGCAACAGGTGAGAGCCTCTTGGCCAGGCCCTTCATGGGCTGGCAGGTGTTTACTGAGCTTCTGCCCAAAAGCTGCCAGATGCTGCCCCCGTCTCAAGGCTGATGCAGTGGGAGTATGCAGGTGCTGGAATGGAAACCGCATGCTGGAGCACTAGGGTAATATTGTTAGGACACTGGGAGAAGATAAGAACGACCATAGGTCCATCTAGCCCAGTATTCGGTCTGTTGACAGTGGCTAATGCCAGATGCCCAAGAGGGAGGGAACACAACAGGTAATCATCACGCTACTCCTCTCCTGTCATCCATTTTCAGACAGAGAATTGAGGCACATCATTTCTACCAATCCTGGCTAATAGCCATTGATGGACCTAACCTCCATGAATTTATCTAGCTCTTTTTGGAACCCTGTTAAAGTCCTAGTCTTCACAACATCTTCTGGCAAGGAGTTCCACAGGTTAACTGCTCTGAGTGGGGGGAGAAAACTTCCTTTTGTTTGTTTTAAACCTGCTACCTATTAATTTAATGTGGTGACCCTCTAGATCTTATGTTATGGGAACAAGTAAATAACACTTTACCTTATTCACTTTTTCCACACCAGTCATGATTTTATAGACCTCTACCATATTCCTGCCTTACTCTCTTTTCTAAACTGAGAAGTTCCAGTCTTTTTAATCTCTCTTCATAGGGGACCCATTCCAAACCCCTCATCATTTTTGTTGCCCTTTTCTGAACCTTTTCCAATGCCAGTGTATCTTTTTTGAATTGAAGTGACTACATCTGTATGCAGTATTCAAGATGTGGCTGTACCATAGTCTTATATAGTGGCAATAAGATATTCTGCCTTATTCTCTTATCTCTTTTTTTTAAATAGTTCCTAACATTCTGTTTGCCTTTTTGACAGCTGCTGCACAGTGAGTGGATGTTTTCAGAGAACTATCCACAATGACGCTCTTGTGTAGTTGTAGTTAAATTAGTCCCCATCATAGCGTATGTATAGTTGGGATTATTTTTTCCAATGTGCATTACTTTACATTTTACAATATAGACAGGACTAGGGGGAAGGGCTTGGGACCCCAGGGGTCAGAGCCAGTATCAGAGTCAAGAATCAAGCTGAGGTTTGAGTCGAGCCAAGAGTCAAAACTGGACAGTGTCAGAAATCAGGCAGAGGGTCCAATACCAGCTAGTGGATCGCAGTTCCAGGGGTCGTTCAGGAGTCAGAGCTGAGAGCTTGGAGACAGAGAAGCAGACCGGTCACGCAAACTAACTAGGGATCCTCCTCGTTGCCTGGACACATCCTGGTACACCTCATGGGCGTACTTGGGGATGCAGCGCCAACCAGGGACTGCTAAGACACTCTATCAGATCAGCTGAGGTGAAATGTCCTGGGACATTGAACCTCTGCAGACTGTGGGTTGCAGGGAGTGGCCAGGTTACAGGTGCTATTGCCTGGGGCTGTGGGGATGTCATTTGGCTGCCTAGTAGCCCTGCAGGCCTGAATCCAAGTTGTGTTGTGTCTTTATGCCTGATACTCCAAGTGGGTCCCAGGGAAAACTCTGCTAGGCCTCCATATCCGAGAGAGAATTTAGACATTTGTGCTACTATCTAGGTTTGCCACCACTTGGAAATCCAACAAAAGTCCTCGAAACCAGGTGTTCTTCCAGAAGGAGAGCCCAGGTTTCTTGGCTGTCCAGGGTCTTCCCTGGCTAGACATCAAGTCAATTGTCACCGTACTACCACAGCTGCTCTGCCAGCTGGAAACGAACTCCTTGTCCCTTTGGCACAACCAAAGCACAAGGGGAATTTCAAGTGAACGGCAAGATGGAAAGTTTCCATGTGGAACAAAAGAAATACATTTTCTCTCCACATGTGTTTAAACAGCGAAGCCTAGGGTGCCTCTTAGAATGATAGGGCCGAACATTGATATGGAAAAGGAAAATACTGAGTGCTGATAGTTAATGCAAAAATTTTTGAAGAGAGAACACAGCCCCCTGCTTCTGGGTTTAAGCCAGTCTCCAGAGATTTGGGGATAGGGTTAGGCCTTAGTAAGGACAGTTTATCCCACCTCAGCATATTGTAACAGTCTTGCACCTTCCTGTGAGACCTCTTGTCTGGCCACTTGTCCTGGCTGTTCTTATGTGTCAGGGCATCTGTAAGACGTCCAGTTCTAGCTTATACCTCTGCAGATTCAACTGCAACATGTGCTTTGTCAGGGCGTTTACCAGTTGAAGATTGAAGTGTAGCTCTCCCTAAATGACCTCCGGGTGCAGGACACTGATATCAGAACCCAAATTCTGCAGTTAGGCAGTAACACAGCTCACGTCCTGCAGTGATAGGCATGTGTGCAAAACCAGGAGCTGGAGAGATGGAAGATCTCCCCGGTGCATTGCCGAGTCTGGCACCTCCCTATAATGTCTTGTTTCTTCAGCGTGTCCCAGGTCATGCTCCAAGCAATGCAGAACAACAGGTCGAACACGGATATCCGAGCCACAGTTTCAAGCTAAATATAACAGGTAAGATGTATGGGCCGTTGGAGATGAGATGCATTCCTGGGTTCAGTGCTCTTTGCTTTCCCAAACCTGCCCCTGGGAGTTATTTTAGAGGGGCTGCCGTGCAGTGCTGGGAGGGGGGTCGCCGACTGAAGTCCCACCCTGCGGGGAGCAGCACAGAAGTAAGGGTGGCGATACCACCCCGTGCCATCTTTACTCATGAGCTGCTGCTGGCAGTGATGCTGCCTTCAGAGCTGGGCTCCCAGCCAGCAGCTGCCGCTTTCCAGCTGCCCAGCTCTGAAGGCAACGCCTACACCAGCAGCAATGCAGACGTGAGGATTGAAATGCTGCAACTCTCCTCCTACAGTAACCTTGTGACTCCCCCATTCCCCTTTGCCTCAGAACCCCTGCCATTACACCGCCATGACATTTCACATTTCAATAGCTGAAATGGACCATGAATTTGATAGGCGTTGCACACCTGACTTAGGCATCCACGGACGTCTGAAACTGGGCTCCCCACGGTGGCTCAGTGGAACCTTGCTGACCTTATCTCTCCTGTGCAGAATCCCACGGGATCCGGTCCCATGCCATCCTGGCTGGCCATTTTGGGATTGTGTCAACTGTCGCTCTAAGCCACCCAAGGGGCTGAGGGTTCACTTACTTCATCAAGTTCTACCAGGACTGCTTGCTGTCAATACCTGAAAACGGCCTGGGAAGCTGTCCCGGCCAGCAACTGCTTGCCAAGTCCATCTGTGTGGACTAGGCCAGAGGGAAGGCACCGAGTTTCTTTTCCATTGCCTGGGGTAGGCCTGGTATTTTGCCCAGTATTTTGCCCTACACAGGGAAAGGTGGTGATTCTGTTCATCTTTGCTTTCTGTTCTCAATGGGCTCCGATTCCTGTTCACCAAGAGTTAGGGAGCGAGGAAAGTCTATAGTTCTAGGCAATGTTCCCTCTAATTTTTTCCATCCATGTGCGGAATAATTTTTGTTCTCTGCGCTGAGGCATGTGCAAAACTAGTAGAAACACATGCTGCCAGCGGTGGGCCATTTGAATCTCCCCTGGGTGGCCACCCAAACACTCAGCTTACCGGGGTCACTGGTTCTGGGGTCTAGTTGTATCTTGACCCCCAAAGTCAAGTGTTGGGTTCTGGCCTGGGCTCTGGTGGTACGCAGAGGAGCTGTGATGGCCCCCAGGCAAATCCCCACCTGTTTTGCAGAGAAACACAGTAAATCAGCGAAGGGCAAGAATAGTGAGTGGGTTGTATGAGTGGCCCTACTTCATCTCTATAGGCCACATGATCAATGGCGGGCAACCTGCAGCCCGTGCACCCCCTCTCTGCCCCCTTCCTCCACGTCCCACTGGAGCCCCACACTTCTTACTCCTCCTGCCTCCCAGCACTTCCAGAGTGCCACGAATCTGCTGATTGTTGCTCTCCACTCTTCTGCCTCCCTCCCAGAGCTGGAGTGCTGCAAACGCACACAGGCGGTCCACACACCACAGGTTGCCCACCACAGTGATAGATGCTGGCAAACACACCGGGGCTGGTCTAGCTTGTGCTGCCCTCTGGAGCAGAGAGCATCCAGGAGAGACATAAGTGGTTTAAACAGCAAGGAGCCCTGTGGCACCTTAAAGGCTAACGTTTCTTTGGGCATCCGCTTTCGTGGGTCAAAACCGCTTCGTCAGGTGCATGGAGTTTTGCGGAGGTGGTTTGAAAGACACCCTTGCCTCCTCCTCCTCCTCCCAGAATGCCTCTTCTGTGTGGTGGCTCCCGAGACGCCTGGCACAAGAGCTAGCCCAAAGCCTGGAGTAACCCTGATCCCCTTGGTGAGATATTGGGCTCTGCCGTGGCCTGAGCCAAGCTGACTAACTTAGCATCTCTGAAACCCAGGGCCTTTAAGGTGAGCTGAGCCGGCCAGCCACATGCTGAGGCCCCTCCGAGGCCAGGTTTGAAGATGTTGGCCTTGACTTCTCCAGGCTGGTGCAACAGGGGACAAGAATCCTCCTCTTCTTTGTGGGGCGAGAGAGGTTGTGAAAGGCCGTTAGCAGCTGTGATGCTGAGGTCAGCTGGGCTGCACTTACGAGAGCTCTCTGCGGGCCATCCCGTCCTGGCAAGAGTCCTGGCAGTTGAGAACCGGCAGAGATGGAGTCCTCTGACCTGTAGGGTACAGTGCCAGCCTCCCCTCCTGAAGAAGTGTCCATTGGCCTGTAAATCGTTACAGATCTATGTGCTACGGCTAGTGAGGACTGTTAGCAATGAGGCAGGAAGCTGTTTGAACGAAAGTACTGCTGTCTAAGTTTTGCATGCACCTCCAGCCGATGGCAATGGGGTTGTAAAACTCCTTAAATAACAGAAGTGCTTTGTGCTCGGTGGGGAAAGGTGCTAATCCTATTTACCTCCCTAGGATTCTGTCCCATTGGCTCACCCAGTGCCCTAGCGCTCGTACTCAATGCTTGCTTGCTTTTTCTTTTGCAGAGATGTGTCCAGTCTGGGCCTCCCACTGCCGAGATGGGCTGCATTGGAAAATTTTTCCTCCAACCCTTTCTGAGCAAGTCTGGCAAAAGTATTGTATTGTTATGACAACGGCCTTACACCTCCTCTTTTGTACACCCGAGATGGTCATTAAAGACGCTTGTTATGTAGAATACGACTTGCCCGCTCTAAGGCAAAGCTGTATTCAGGGAGGCATGTCTGTGCGGCTCTCTGGCCTGCATAGCAATGACAGGCCACAAGATGGGGATGTTGACTTGCAAGATGGCAGTGCAGCGAGATGGAGGGGAGGAGAAAGAGAGAGAAGGTGGCAGGAATGAAGGAAGTGAGGGGACCCCAGAGGAATAAAGTAACATGCATGACCGTAAAAGCCCAGAGGTGTTTGTGCCTCTCTCTTGTCTGGCAGTGCCCAAGATGCTCCCCACCTATGTAAAGTCCCCGCCTCAGAGGCTAACAATTTAAGGCTGGCCAGACATTAAGGAAAGGGGAAATCACAATTTTTATCCATATCATCCAGCTGCCCTGCAGGCAGTGGGAAATGTTTTAGAGGGACCGAAAGGGGAAGGAGTCTGAGGGGCTCTACTGTGTGAGGTGGCTGGGTGATGTAGGCACAGATGTGAGTATCTCAGAATCCCCTCGCTTCTCCAGAAGGAGGGAATCGCTGCGTCAGCTCTGATTTTCCATATCGGAACCCTCCTCCAATAGCCTTTTGGACACGAGTTGCCCCCTGAGAGGAGAAATGTGCCCCGGGCTCTATGTAGACTTGTGTAGTTGCATTGCTCAGTGACTGGTCCCTGCTGTGCTTGGTGCTGTACAAACACAAGATACCGGCCTGTCCCCGATGGGCTTACCAGCTGGAGCAGCGCTGGCAGGGCTGTGCTGAGGACTTGCTGCTGAAAAGTCCCCTGAGGCTCCTTGTCATTCTTATTCTGTGATTACTACTTGTGGCTGGGGGGCCCCTACGAGACCTTTGATCCGGGGCCTTATGGTGCCAAGTGCTTCAGAATCCTGGACCAGCGCACTGATCGTAAGGAGGAGACACGTATTAGACACGATGCGCCTAATGGGCTGTGTGAGGAGACAATAAGGCCACGGTGGTCAGCGTGACGGGGCAGTGCCCTTAGCAAACCAGCAGTCGGTCTGTTGTCAATCATCAGTTGCCTTGTCTAGTAATTGCTTCCCTAACCCCCATAGTCACCCCCTGCCCTTGGCTGCTGCCTCTCTGGGACCCCAACCTCCTGCCGAGTGCTGCTGCTTTGATCCCTCCCAGCAGACCCCCCCTCCTCCCCAGAGAGCATAGCAAGACACCTGGTTTCACCTGCTGCCGATCCTTGCTCTCTCGCTAGCTGGTCCTCCTGCTTGTTGGGCAGCAACAATACACCCCATGTGAGGGAGAGAGGGGGCAAAGCCATTGTTATGGCGATTACAACCCAGCTTCTCCAAGCTGCTGGCAGGAGCAAACTCATTAAATGCCTCCAGTGGAGCTTTGTTCCACACGTGACTGAGCCGGGGTGCGGGTGGGGGGGGTAGAACCAGTGTCTGCTGCACTGTGTTACCGAGGGGAGGGGCACTGATTCATGCTGGATTAAAGGGACATGAATGGCAAATGTGAGCCAGGACCAAGGCATTTGTGTCGCTAAATAGTGCCAAAGAAGCTCGTCACGGTGTTAGTGGGTCCTGGATTTCGCAGGGGCATGGGGCAGCGTGTGGCTGGGG